ATTTCTTCAAGTATGTCTGGCTGCAGCCTGCAGGAGGGCGGGGTTGGACATCCACTTAAATTCTGACAGAAGTCATGTGTATGATTCTGATTTTGTGCTTATTCTGACCAGACTTCTGATATTGGGATGACACACAACTCCGGCAACAGTGGACTGTGCTTTGAGATCTGGTTCCGACGAAGGAACTCGCAGGATACCTACATCCTGCAGGCTGAGAAAAAGGAGGTGAAGGAGGGTTGGGCCAATGACTTGGAACAGATCCTTTGGGAGCAGGCAGTGCGCAGCAGGGGTTAGTTAGAGCTCCAGCTCTCCTTCTCCGTTAAATCTGCCCTTGCTGTCAAGCAAACCTCTGTTGTTTAATTGTTATTATGACATGTTGCAGAGCTTAGGATACAGGAGAGGGTCTTCATGGGAATGGGGAGCAAACCTTTCATGGATATCCAGCCCAGTGATGAAGCGATCTGTGACAGGGCAATCAAGTGTGTCCCGACTGGAAGAGGTGCATTTACACAAGTTCTTTAGAAACATCTCAGCTATTAAACCTGCTTCCTTCAAGTAAAATATTGAAATATGTTTTGTTACCCATGAAGAAAAACTTATTTTCTTCTCATTTCAGACTCTAAGATGTTACCCCAAGGACGTGTTCTGTTATCCCATGCTAATTCTACAGGTTCTGGGAGCACTTGTTCAACAACTGGAAGCACCTCATCCTCATCCTCTGGCCGGGGTTCTCTATCTCCTGCCAGCTACCTCTGTGGCCATTCCCAGAGAAGAGAGTCAAGCCAAGAGATTTCTGAAGGAGTTATGGAGGAGGATGACCTAGACAATGAGAGCATACACCTCCTGGGTCAGTCTTTATTATTAATTGCAGAACACAATTGCAGAACTGGCTACGTAGCATTAAATGTTTATGATCCGGTATTATGCACTGTTTGATGGGTGGGGGTTGTTTGACATCTGAGTCTATTTTCGTTATTTTCCAGGGAACAGTTCTGAGTCCTCTGGTGGAAGCACCAGTGGTTTCAGTGGGTCTGACCACAGCTGCCAATCTGCAATTGGTGGAGACACACAGAACACATCCTCATCCTCATTTTCCGTATGCTCCAAGGTGGGGGGACCACATGGAATACCCCCCCTTTTCCGTGACCAGGGTTTTCCTGTGGATTCCAGAAAGCACCCCCCCACTGTGTCAAAACCACTAGCCCTGCCATCTCAGCAAGTACCTGGAAAGGTTGTTTATGATTGACATATATGATTGATACTCTACACCAGGGGTGTCAGACTCCAGGCCTGGGGGGCCGGAGCCCTACTAATTTTTGCACTATGCATTTTAGACTACAGTCTACTCTGATTCAACTCCTTGCACCTCCTTGTGCTAATTACCATACAGCTCTTGAGATGAATAATTTGTCGTGGAACAGGGAAAGAACTAAGCTACACAGGGCTCCGGCCCCCCAGGACTGGAGTTTGATACCCCTGGTTTACACTGATACTTACACATGTTTAAAACAGATTTTAAAATAACATTTAAGATATTTTAGATCAGTAAAGACTGTAAAATAACTAAAACAAACCTTCATCACGAAGAATTGATATGACATCATATACCCTTGGATATACCGAACTGTGAAAAGTTTTGAGCCATCAGAAAATGTTTAATGCAGTTTATCTGGGTAGTAAGTGAATATTTGCTCAGAAAAAAAAACACGATTTAACATCGGAACATATGCGAATTAAAAGTGACACAATAACAACAAACAAGAATTTCTTCTGTTCTCCAAAAAGCTACTGATGCCTGGATGACTAGATGAACACCGCTTTGGTTCCCAAACCTCTGTTCAGGGGCACCTCAGCCATTCCATGCATTTATTACATTTCACCAATCTTATTCATCTAATTTATTTATTCAATTAGATAACAAAAGTCAATGAGGTTTTTTATTCGCCATAGGAGGTGTGTTAGTGGTCAAGTCAAAAAATACGTGGGTGTATTGGAGGTTTGCTGCAAATACTATGGTGACTTTATCAGAGGTTTTGAAATGACTAAGCTGGCAGACTTTGATGGACATAATATTAGAGTTCTATAGCAACAAGAAGATCATCTGAACATCATTTTCTTTGATGGCCCAAGACTTTAGTGCAGTACTGCATGTCAGTCAAAAATGCTATTAGACTAGTTAATAAATGCACATGTTCCAACAGGTCTTGCTTTTTAGTAATGCATCATCATAATTAGATGGATGTTCATAATTCTTTTTTTTCCTGCAGGTTAAAGCAGTGGCTGTTTGCAGAAAGTCCACAGAAGTTTAAGTTAACTATATGTGATTTGTTAATTCTCTGAAATGATTTTGGCGTTTGAGTGCCCTCTGAATTTGGCACTCTCTAAATTTCACTAATAAGTGGTTGTCCTGGCTGGGGGATTTTTATCTTCCAGACTTTATGAAAGAGATGTAATACAGAAAAATAGCTTAAAAAGAACATTGAAAAGGAATTATTTTAAGCAAAGCACCTTAAAATAAAATTTACCTCCAAAGGAGGTTGTAAAATTTTTGTGTAGTTCACATTTAGCACAATTTTTATAACTAGCACTGCAACCAGTCAGTAAACTTTGAATGGTTCAGTGCCTCATATCAGGTTACATACCACAAATGGTTTAACTGTATTCCACTGAGGCTATGGACTGGATGCCCAACTGCAACACAAAATTGTATTAAAGTCATGCAGCGTTGTAACCCAGTGTACATTTAGCACTATCCCCTAAATACAGTAGGGGCCTGCTTCTGATACAATTATATCCAAACATGACAGTATACCTTTAAAAGTATTACACTACAAGTATTTACTTTTATTTTTCATCATGTCTGAGTTCAGTAATGCAGTACATAGGAAGTTTTCTTATTTTATAACCTTCTGGCAAATCAGGCATTCCTAAGCATTGTTTGACGTGTTTTTATACAATGACAACATATATTCATGGACCACAGAGACAAACATATGGTGTTTAATTTTGGACAAAATCTTGCTGTGTTGGTAATGAGTTGGAAACACAAATAAAGTCAACTGTGTTCAACTAGGACCTACAGTGTACTCTTTTAAGTTTTCTAGCCATAAATAGTGATCGGTTTTACTCTTTGGGTGGATATAGGATGTCCATCCATCTATCCCTCCATTTTCCATACCCACTTGTTTTATGCATTGTCACAGGGATCCAGTGCTGATCCCTGAAGCTATGGGTGCAAGGCAGGGATGGGGTGCCACCCAGGTCTAAGATGTCTTAGAGAATCCATGGAGAGAGATTATTAGGTAGCTCTAGAGAAGTTTTGGGAAGCTGTTTGATTCTTCAGGAGGGTGAGTTTGTGTTCAGCTGACATGTAGATATTGTCAGGTAGTGGAAAATCGCTTTGAGGAGCTCCTCAACCTAGTGGACACAGTGTTGGAAACTGAAGTTAGTGTAGCTGAAGTTACTACAGAGATAACAGACCTCCATGGCAGAAAGGCTGCAGGGACAGATTAAATCTACTGAGATGTTTAAAGGACTAGATGTTGACGTTGCATGGAAGGCAGGTAAAGTACCTCAGGACTGGAAAACATGGGTGGTGGTCTGTATTTAAAAAAAATGGACCAGTGTGTGTGTTCCAGCTATGGGGGGGATTATCCTGCTTCACCTTCCTGGGAAAGCCCATGCCAACGTCCTAAGAAGGAGACTCTTTGATGGTCGAATCTACAATTCCAGAGGAACAATGTGGAAATACTCTTCTTCCTCATCCAGCTGTAAGAAGGTGCAAAGAAATATGCAAAAATGTTGTACATATGCTTTATGGATTTGGAAAAGTCATATGAACACTTGCCATTGCACATACTGTGGCTTTTGTGACAGAATATGGAGCACCAGGGCTACTACTGAATGTTATTCCATTTCCGTAAGACTGTGTCCACATCCATGGCATGTCATTGCCATGCTAAGTAGAGCGTGTGATGGCTTCTAACACAGATGTGTCTTCTCACCACTTTTTGAGGTTTTCATGAATAGGATACGAAGGCACAACTTTAGCTAGGAGGGCATCTAGTAAAGGGTCCAGAAGTGACATTCCTGCTATTTGCAGATGATGTTGATCTTTGTAGGACTTACATGTGCTCTCCTAAATTTGAATTTATATTGGCAAGTCAGAGAAGTCAATATCCCACACCATCTCACCTGCCTTGTCCTTCACTACAATTTGTAAATGGGTACTCTGTCCAGCAGTGACATCCTGATTTTCCTGAGTTCAGTGCGTTATGGGCTCGCATTTCACTTAATTAACCAATCTTCATGGTACAGCATCACCACATGGGGGTAACTCAGCAGGGCTCCATACCTGTGGAGGAAAGGTTGCTGGTTTTAGTCCAGCCTCAGCAGAATAACATAATGGGTACTTAAGGAATCTGTGCACTTTGCCACTTAACACCAAGACGTTCCATGATAGACTGGCTGTGAAAAAGCCAATTTAGGCACGGTAGCCCATTTTTATTTTATTTGGTGAAAATTTCTCTGCTCACCTAAAATAATAGTTTGATAAAATAACAAAAAAACCTATTTGAGCAATATTTAGTTTTCCCCACTGCCGCAAACATATCAGCCAGTCAGCTGATTCCTGCCCGCTCCTGAATTCAGAACTGAAAATTTGTCTCATGCTGCACTCAGTTACCATAGGACATGCAGTGGAAATGCAAACCTCTACTTTGGTGGAATCCTGTTGTTGCTGTACATGGTCTGCTCATGCACTTTCACTTCACGCACAAGCGGATCCATTTCCTCTGCACTGAAGTGTTCTTTTCTACTACCTGGCAAACCCGCTATTATAATAGCAATCCACCAAGGTGCAAGGACACCTGGCTCTTGAATGGAATGGGAGATAACACTTCATAGTGGTTTATAGCATGTTACGTCCCAAACATACCCATGAATAATTATGAGACTTAGTATAACCCTTTTGGACTACGCGCCTGTCACAGCCACTATTTTGCCCCAGTTAAACTAGCAAAAGTGGGTTGGCCACTCCCTAAAAGAACCTGCATGGTGTGCTTCAGATGGTTAAAATATATGCTTCAGACCGTGTGCTTCAGATGGTTAAAATATGTGCTTCAGACC